TCTCAGAGCAACAACAACTTCAGCTTTTGTAGGCAATAGAAAGATCCATGTATATCTAGAGTAATCATCTACCAAAGTCAGAAAATACCTTTTACCATCATAGGTAGGAACTCTATAAGGCCCCCAAACATCTGCATGAATTGTGTGAAAGCATGACATTGTAGATGTAGAACTCAAAGGAAAAGACAGTCTTGTTTGTTTAGCTAGAGGACACACTGTACAGTGCTTGTCCTTACTACTACATTCAACAGACTGAAAGTCACAAGATCCTTTTAGTTTCTGCAAAGTATCTAAGGGTGCATGACCCAACCTTTTATGCCACACAGCTATACTCACTACTTTATTGGAAACTTTCACTGCATTCACAGAGTTTATTTGTTTTGAACTCTTTGAGATATCTGAACCTTGATCTTGACTTTGTACTGCCACTGACTTCTTTGGAGTAGAGTTGAACACATATAGTACATCTTCCTTTCTACCAATCCCCCTCACCTGTCCACTGAAGAGCTCCTGGAAAATGAAGAAATCAGGGAAGAACATAACAATCCATTTCATTTCCTTTGTGAGCTTGGAAACAGATAGAAGGTTATATTTGAAGTCAGGGATATACATCACATTAGACACTATTAGGTCCTTCAGAAAAGCAGCAGACCCTATGTGACTAACATGGGTAACACTACCAGTAGGTAGGTGAACCTTTTCACCTTTGCTTTCAACAGACTTTGCATTAATCAACAAGCTAGAGTCATTCATCATATGGCTAGAAGCCCCTGAGTCTACAATCCATTTTGTCAGAATTTTAGTAATGTCACCACAAAATGGTATACCTGCTGCCATAGCAGCTCCACTGCACTCAGGTTGCTTCCCTAGAAGTTGAAGGATCTGGTTGTATTGATCTTGAGTGAATTAAGGAATTCCAGTTTGAAGGTTCTGACCTGTTTGTTGCATCTGTTGCACCTGTGAAGCTCCTGCAAAATTAGCCGTGGAACCTGCTTGTGCAGGGCTGGTGAGGTTATCAGATACATAGTTAACTGAATTCCCAAATCCACCTTTCCTTTTAGACTTAAAGTCCTGTGGATATCCATTTAGTTTGTAACGAGTTTCCCTAGTGTGACCTTTAAAGTTGCAATAGTCATAATGTAGGTTGTTTCTCTTATGTCTATAACCAGTATTTGAGTGACTTCCTCCTCCAGATTGACCATAGCTAGCTCCTGCATTCCCTTTGTTGCTGAACAAGGCTGTCATGTCATTTCCTGCATAGCTATGGCTCTGTCCCAGGTTTCCTTTTGCATTCAGCTGCATTGAAGCTCCAGTTGGTACTCCTTTGTTGCTGAACAAGGCAGTACCTTCATTAACTTCTGAAACCTGAGAGGACTGAGATAATGACCTTCTGCTTTCTTCAGAGATGATCATTGAGTAAGCCTTGTTTATGGATGGTCTAGGAGGCATATTCAGAATCTGATTACTTGACTGAGAGTAAGTTTCATTTAGACCCATAAGAAACTGCAACATCCTCTGGTACTCAAAATGTTCAACATATTTCTCTGATTCTTCATAACCACATCCAGGGCAGGGCATAAGAGCATCAAACTCTGCCCACAACTCCTTCAATTTCGAAAAATAGGCAGACACAGTAGACAGTCCTTGGGTCAGAGTAGCAATCTGTTTGTGCAGATATAACACTCTAGAACCATTGACTTTATCAAATGTTTCTTTGAGATCCATCCACACCTTGTGTGCACTTGAAGCATAAACCATACCACTTAGCAACTCAGCACTCACAGAGTTCATAATCCAAGACAGCACTATAGCATTGCATTTTTCCCAAAGTTCATGAAGAACTGGAGGGAATTTTTCCTTCGGATATCTTCCATCTACAAACCCTAGCTTACTTTTACCTAGCAAGCTAACACGCATAGTACTACTCCACAAAGTGTAATTCTCAGGTCCTGTAAGCTTGACAGAGATGAGAGGGCTACCTGGAGTGTCACTTGGTTGTAGGAACAAGGGATGATGCTGATCGATCACCGGTGCAATCACTGGTGCAGCTGCTACCTCTTCGTGAGTCGATGCATTGTCTTCTCCAGTAATCGCCATTGCTAGCAGAACAGACACTAAATCTCACAAATATCAATTGCTCAAAATCGATCTAACCCTAATATTTGGGAATCGAAGCAATTGCCCAATCTCAGATGAGTAACTAGTAGGAACAATTAAGAGAGATGAATCAGGAGTAAAACTTGAGCTCTAGATCGTTGACTCAAGCTCTGATACCATGATGAATTCGAGATTCACCTCGATAGCTATGGCAGTGAAGATCAGGGAAAGAGAAAAAACAGAGTGAAGAAGAACGAGCAGTTATGCTCTCTATTCTCATAACTAATAAAATGCATGATAACTGTACATTTTATACTACTCAACTAACTACAACTAACTAATTACATATAATTAGTTGTATACAGCTGTCACTAGTTCAACACTCACTTGATAGACGTGAGAGTCACATGCTGCCATGTGAATTTTTTTTTCCATGTGGCATTTTCTTAAAAATAATATATGTGAATTGTGTTTTTGGCCAAATTTATAAATAAATAAAAAAGTAAATTTATACTAGGTGTAAAAAATATTAAAAAATTCATACAATCAGTGTAATTTAATTGGTTGTAGTACTCTAAAAAGTTTCACTACATTGGTCAAAAGTTCGAGAATTAACTAATGTCTCGTACATATCAATCTATTGGAACATGTTGAATTAAACAGTGAACAAGCTAAAATAATAATTATACTACACTACTTATCAGTTTATATAAATAAATTTCTTAATTTAAAATGATTAATGTGCATAAGTATTTCTTAACGGTCGTCTATATATCGTTTCTTTTTAACCAGGTCCACACGCAAAAGACTAAATTGGAGGCTGCATTTTCTTTTATTTTCCTGTCCTATTTTCACTTTGCAGTGGAGAATGGAATGACAGGAGTCCAACTGCTTCCACTAAGTTAATAAAGTTTGTTTTGTAGAATTTTGTATAATTGGGTTGAAAAGTTAGAAATAAGAGACATACCTTTGGACGTATTAGTTATGTTAATTACATGTCAAACAATATATATGTTAAAAAATAGGCAGAATACCTAAAAAAAATCATAAACTTGACATGGATTATTAGTTACACCCCTAGACTATTCGTGGTCTTAATTATCTCCCTGAATTTGACCTTGTGAGAGTCATTATCCCCCTGAACGTTGATGTGGCAAAGAGTGTGGGTGCACTCTCTTTTAAGCGCATGGGAGTGAAGAAAAATTAAAAAATCAGCTTCCAAGTAGGTCATTTTTAACTTTTAATTGTCGTGTGTGTATATATATATATATATATATAACTATGTATTTCTTCTTGCTTCATCTTAACATATAATGTGGACTTTATTTTTAATTTCTTCTATAGATATAATATCTATTTGCTCCAACTGCATATTTCTTTTTTTTTTGGGGGGAGGGGGGGGGGGCCTTCTAAAAGTTTGGTTGGTATGATTGGACGGGGTCCCGTGGGCCTCGCGTGTGTTTCGGACCAAATTAAATTTGGCTAAGTTGTCGGTGATGGTGCTGGTGCGAGTGTTAGGTTTCCTCTTTCGTGAACGCGAAGGGTCTCCCGCGTTCGCGAAGAAGGAATTGGGGGGCTTAGGCAAGTTGTTCTTCGCGAACGCGAGGGGCTTGCCGCGTTCGCGAAGAAGAATTTCTGGGCCTGAGTTTGCTGAGCTTCGCGAACGCGAGAGCAGTGCTGCGATCGCGATGAATAGTTGCCTGGGCAGTGCATAAGTTGCAAGAAATGGGTTTTGGCTCATTTTATCTCAAATCTTCAATTGGATCCGAGCTTGGGGCGATTTGTGAAGCAGCTTTTTCGTCATCCTCCACTAGGTAAGCGATTCCATCACATTTTAAGTTAAATACATGAATTATACGTGGATTTGAACATGAAAATTGGTGGAAATTATGAGATTTCGAAGAAAACCTATAAATTGGTATTGTTGGATTTTGACCACAAAATTGGACATGAAATTTGGAATAAATTATATATTTTAGTTATCTTCAAAAAAATTCGGAATTCGGACACGTGGGCCCGAGGGTTGCTTTACCGACTCTTGAACAGAGTTGGGGATTTTTGTAAATTAATTTGTTATGAGTATTAGAGTATATTTTTATTGGGTTGCACAATGTTTGACTAGTTTCGGAGCGACGCGCATCGGTTTGAGGTGTTAGAGAGGCTTTGGCTGGTCATAGAGCTTCAGAGCGAGGTAAGTTTCCTGTCTAACTCTGTGAGGGAAAAACTAGCCTTAGGTGATGTATTTGTTATGTGCTACTTGTTGCCGGTGCTACGTACGCACGAGGTGACGAGAGCCTGTACGTAGCTGGATTCATGTTATGACTGGGTAGACTTAGGTTCCCGCCTTGCTATACACTACAACATTTTAGGCCTACGACCACCCCGAACAAGTGTGGCCTAAACTAGCAAAAAGTGTGGCCTTTGATTAAAGGCCACACTTTTCGACTTTAGGCAATGCTTTATTGGGGGTGGCCAAAACAAGCGTAACCTTTGACCTAAGGGCACGCTTTTCAATTGTTGCCTTACCAGCCACGCTTAAAAGCGTGGGCTATTAGATATCAAAGACAACGCTTATTACACCCCATATGAGAACGCTTTTATATCTTACAGCTACACTCGGAAAGTGTGGCATTTGTTATCTTATAGGCCACACTTGTTAAGCGTGGCTCTAAAGGAACACTTACAAAACATGGCGTACAAACATATGGTAACACTTTTAAAGCGTGGCAAATTGGCTAGAGTATACAATTTATATTTTAAATCCTTTTTATAAATTTACATTTTGCATAATATCCTGTAATTACAATTATTTCAAGCATATGCATTATTATCACATATTTGATGATATAAAGAACTAAATTAGCTAATAAGTACCAAAAAATAATAATTCAAATGAATACACATACTAACAAAACAATGAATCAAAATGCCCATTAACAATAAACTTTACAAAAGTGAGTATATTCATATAGTACCATGAATATTAGACATCCTAATTATCCAATAATTCTTCGCATTCACATTAAGATCAAATTGACATTCCGCCACCATTTCCAGTAGCATCACCCATATTATCCTACACATAAAAAAAATTATACTTAGATAGAAATTAAACTTTGATCTTTTGTCAAGAAGAACAAATACTAGGATAACATTTAGTAGCACCATGTTTTATATATTTTTCAGTCACATAAAAAAAATGAATAATGAGTAACCATGCAATACATGAATTGCATGTCGGAGCAACATAGCTAAAAATGCAAAGACTAAAAGACCTTAAATGAAAAAAGAAAATATACTTGCCTATTCAGAGCATAATCAACTCCGACAGCATCAGCTCCATCAAAGCTGAATCCATTTGGTTCAAGACCACACTGTTGTGCTCTCTCTTTGTCATGGTCAACGGCAAATACAGTATCATAAAGTCCTATTATATAGAATGCAGAGGTTAATACACTAATTCAGAAGCAAATAAATTGGGATCTGCTAAAATAATAATCAAGTCAATGGCATCAAAAGAAAATTCTAGCGTGTGCAGACAAATATTTATTCTCGCACTTAATTCAAGAAAATGCAATATGCTCCTGTGAATCCAATATACATCAAGTGAATTCCCTAACTAAAAACGAGAAAAACTACAGTTGA